AAAGGCTCTGTCCCCAGGAGCAACTTGCCTGGGGCAGGACATCCCGGTGTGGCACTTTTGGGCAGGCTTATTGCAATCTCCTGTGTTTATGCAGAGTCTATTGCCTTTGTTCCTGAGGCTAGAGAGCTTCAGGGTAAAGAGCTGGTGAGCTCCCTGTCCTCGCTTTTGAGCATGCATGAGATGAGGAACTGCGAAAGAGCAAAGTGCCAGCAAAGGTGTTTGTCACGCCTGGGGCAGGACATCCCGGTGTGGCACTTTTGGGCAGGCTTATTGCAATCTCCTGTGTTTATGCAGAGTCTATTGCCTTTGTTCCTGAGGCTAGAGAGCTTCAGGGTAAAGAGCTGGTGAGCTCCCTGTCCTCGCTTTTGAGCATGCATGAGATGAGGAACTGCGAAAGAGCAAAGTGCCAGCAAAGGTGTTTGTCACTAGCAAAGTGCTATGTCAGAAAGTGAGGTCCTGGGATTGGCTGTGTGGGAAGCCGTAAGAGTGGATGATGTATAGAAATACCTTGCTTTTGCTACATGGCTTTGCTAAAAGCAGCTGAAGGACTGGACAAGCGGTCCAGGATCGAGGGGGCGACCCCAAGACCTTCAGCCATCCCAGCTGCGCTCTGCTCTCAGGTACATTTGGCAGCATGGACACAGCAGGGAAGGACTGGCTGACCAGAGTAGGATGGGAAGCCTGGTGGGTTTTTTGCTCAGTCTTTACACTGCCCAAGGGTGAGCAAAATAGCTGATACACTTTGACTAGCCTCGCAAAAAGTCTCTTGCAAGAGACTGGGTCAGGGTCAACTGATCCTCTTGGCGCTAGGCCTTGCCAGCTGGGGGAAGGCCGCCCTTGCTGCTGCACAGCTTGCAGGAAGCAGCCCAGCGCATCCAAGTTTTCCTGGTGGATAGTCAGTAGTCGGCTCAGTAAAACCGGTGATCATAATGAAGTGATGGTTGAGAGGGATATATAATGTGTGAGATTGTGTTTTTTAAAAAAAATAAAATAAAAAAGAGAGATTTAAATCAACAGTGTCCTCTCACCAGGGTGTAGGACAGTTTTCTGCACTCTCTGTGTGAAGGTTGGAGCAAAAGCAGAGAAGATTCAGGGAGGCATCACGGAGAAGGGGGAAAGAGAACTCAATGACATTGAAATGATAGGGCTGTGTAACTTAGGGCAGATATAAATCTTAGATCTACATTGCAGTGATAAAGAACTATACACAGTTTAGAAAAGGTAGCATAACACTTGCAGACTGCCTGGAATAGAGGGCTATTCCAAAAGAAAAAAAAAAGAAAAGAAAAGAAAAAAAATGATGAAAATCAGTGAATGGAAACACATTTTTTGCGTGTCATTATCCTCTGGATTCACTGTGAAGGAGATGATCATGAGGATAGGAGATTAATAGTGTTGAAAAGTGTCAGATATTTCTGAGTATAGAAAAAAAAAGTCTCAGATATTTAAGATGGACTAAAGATGTCTGGAAATGAAATATAACACCCTCTTCTAGACTGCAAATCCACCACTAATTAATGTGGTTGAGGAAGGAACATCCCATGGGAATAACTATTCCATAATCACACAGTTTATGAGTTTTTTGTTCCTTCTTCAGTGAAGCCGCGGGAACGAGGGAGTAGAGCGGGTGCATCACTGCCAGGAGTCAGACTGACAATTCCCAAGCTGCCGGCTGCTGGCTCCATGGTTTATCTTCTTCTCTGGTAATCCCCCAGCCCTGTGCCTGTTATTTTGTGTTCTAATAACCACTGAGGAGTGCCATGCTGTGTTAACGTGAGCATCCCTTATGTCCTGCCGGCAACAGGTCACATCGCACCTGCCCTGCTCCCGAATCCCTGAAAGCTTTTGGCCATACCGTGCCCCTTCCCACCAGCGTGTCCTGGCTAGCCCTGAGGAGGGGCTATGTGGGGCCGGCAAGTACTGCTGCCCCTCACAGCGTCCCTGGGGCTCTGGTGGCCAGGGCTGGGGTTGGCAGAAGCAGGCAGAGCCATGCCCAGGCCCCGGCTGCTACGTGCCATGAATGTCCTCACCGATGACGTGGCTGCTCAGGCACATCTGCAAGTGGGATCTGCAAATTCTGCCCTTCAAGGAAAGGTGCCCGCTTCTCCCCCAGCACCCGTGGCAGCAGGGATGCAGCTGTGCCATGGGGCAGTGCCCCGTGCGGCAGCGTCTGCACAGCTGTGCCCCAGGAGAGGGGAGCTCCCGCTCACAGACATGAGGTCCCTTTGCTGCTGTGCAGGGGCTGGGGGATGCCCGGGAGGCAGAGAGTCCAGGACTCCTTTCTCCCCCTTCAGCTCTCAGACAGGGAGCGCTGCCCTCTGAGGATAGGGGTGCTCTGTGCACAGCAGCTGGGCACCCTGCCAGCCCCCAGGAGCACCTAAAAACCCCTGTGCCCAAGTGTGTGAGGAAGCAGGCTCTGCTCACCACCCCTGTACTGGAGTCCACAAGCCTACAGGGAAGCCTAGCCAAAGGTGATCTCCATTTCTATTCATCTCTGAGCACTTCCTTGGCTTGCATGCACTCCTAGGATCCTGTTTCCTGATACATGTATTTTAATATTTGTGTTTTAATACTAATGTGGTGTTTCTGGAGAAGGTCTGGCTGAGGTGCAGCAAGATGGAGCTCTAAGCCCTCCGGAGGGGCGATCTCTAGGGCTGAGAGTGCTCTGAGCAGTGCCACTGTCCTGGGTACCGCTGGCTACGTAGGAAGCAGCTCATCCAGAGCTCAGACTATTTGATACGAACTCCAGGCACCATCTGACAATCTGCTCACATATTTTGCAGTGGCTGGAGCTTTCTGCATGTGTCGTTCCCTGAAATAGATTTTGCAGGTGAGCAGAGATGCCCTAGGACTTTGGGAGAAAAATCTATGTGTGGGAAGAGCTGCTGTCCTAGCTCTGCTTGGTGTCATTTCTTGTTTTTTCTTCAGCTCCACATCTCTAGCCAGCAGAAATATCAAATGTCCAGGAAGCCTGCCAGTCCATCAGGCCACCACCAGAAATGATCCCAACCCTGCTGCAGGTCAGCAATCCAGTTTCCAGAGAGAAAGAGGACGCAATGGATGACAGGACTGCCTCTGAACAGGGTGGAAACCATGCCATGTCAGGGCATGGCCAGGGATTGAAAAAGGAGCCCTGTTTACAAAAAGACTCTTCGTTGCCTTCCCCCAGTGCGTCCCTGATATCCCACCTCCTCAGCCACACAGTGGTTAACAGGGGCCTGGATCCTCACATCCTTTTACCTTCCTCCCAAGTGGTTGGCCTGCCTCAAGGCTTTGGGGATGGTGTGTCTCCTGGGCAAGGAGAGCCAGCCCTGACTCTCCCTGGGCACTGTGCCCTGCATCCCCTGCCTTGTGCCAGTGACAGAGACCGGCTCTCCAACGAGCACCTACGAGCCAAGCGGGCCAGGGTGGAGAGCATCATCCAAGGCATGAACCTCCCACCGAATCCCCTGACATGGGACAGCAGCAGGGAGAGAGGTGGTGGACACCACATGGAGACGCCACGGGAGAACAAGAGGAAGCCGAGGGTGCCCCAGCAGCAGCAGCAGGGCGATGCGGGGGCCCGACAGACCATCGCTGGCGCCTGTAGCTCCCAGGCAGAGAGCTGCCGGCAGCTGAAGGCAGCTGAAGGAGCAACTCCTTGTCTTAGAGCAGCAGCTGAGGCAGCTCCAGGAGAAGTTCTTCCAGTTCTGTGACCCTGGAGATGTTGCTCACATCCAGGAAGGGACAGAGAAAGCACATTTACCACATGGAGAATCTGGAGGCAGACTGGACAAGGACAGTGACGCTGAGGCCAGTGACCCACTCCAAATGCATTACTGGAGGCATGTCCCCGAGGTGACAGAGGAGGAGGAAGATGCAGGCAATACAGGTGGGCTGCCCTTGGAGGCCACGGTGCTCTCAGAGACGCTGAAGCACGAGCTGGCTGGGGCCACGTCTCGGGCGGTGGACTCTGTTCTGAAGACTGTGTGGCCAAAGGTGGCCGGCCACCTCCTGCAGTGGCACTGCAGTCTCCCAGTGCCCACGGAAGGAGACAGGAGAGAGCATTTTGCTTCTGGGAAATGCAGAAAACTTCTCCCTAAGCCTCCCCCCAAGGATATGCTGAATTCCCTTGGGGGAGCCCAGGCTAAGACTCTGTCAGGAGATTCAGACAAGAGCCCAGACTCTCACCCTGGCCCCGTCAATTCAAGAGGGGTGAGAAAACCCTGCCAGCTTGCTAGTACTGCTTATCCACTGGGCATGACAGGCCCTGTTCAGGACAATCAGCTCCTTAGCCAGCTGCTGGGCTATGGCCAGCACAACCCCTGGGGCAGCAGCTCTCGTGGGAGCCCTTCTGCTGCAGAGGGGGGCCCTCCGGAGTCCCTCGACTTGCACTGGGGAACCATCAAACTCAGGTCATCGGTCGTGAGGCAGCAGCAGCACCCCCTGACGCTGAGCCCTGCCAAGGTGGACAGCCTGGCGCTGCTGCCAGCTGCCAGGGCAGGCTGCAGGGAGCTGCAGCCCGCGATGGATGGGGCGCCCTTCGCCTCCATCCATATATCCTTTGGGGCTGAGAGATGCTGGCAGCTGGAGGTGCCAGGATTGCCTCTGCTACACTGCTGGCCCCTCGCACACACTCTGGAGCGAGGGGTAGTGCAGGATACCTGCATAACTGGGGGGGTTCCCTGCAGGAGCCTTTCATGCAGGGTCAAGAAGCAACTTAGCTGACAGCATCCATGTCCTGACCTGAGTCCTTCTCAAGGGTCAGGGTGTGAGGGTCTTCCAGCTTGGTTCTGTGTCCAGTTCCTCCTGCAGGCTTACTGGGACATGGCTTTGCCAGAGAACTCTCTTGCCTCACACAACAAATCCCCTGATGTTTCTGGCAGCCACAGGATGCCTGTCCAGCACTGCTCCCCCAGTCCTGCCTCTCCTTCCCACATGGTTGACTGCAAACTGTGGAAGGGCAATGATGCTCTTCAAACTAATTAGATGCTATAAAATAGCACAGAATAGAAGTTAGGAGCTCCCAGGCCTATTTTGGGGTCATGATGGTGGACCCATGATCCTACCCTGGGAGTTAATGTCTTTCAGAAATCCCTGTTCCCATGCCAGAAGGCATAGCATTCGACCCTGGTTTCCCTGGGATGCCAAAGGGAGCAGTATTCCTCACCACCACTCTGTCTCCATTGCCAGGCAATGGAGAGCCATTGCCACAAGTAGAAGTCCAGGGCAGGTGCCCTCTGCCAGCCTAACAGGCTGTGAGGAGACTTTCCTTGACTCTGAGGTACATCCAGGAGGCGCTGACCCCCGGCCACCTGAAGAAGGCCAAACTGATGTTTTTCTTCACCCGCTACCCCAGTTCCACTCTGCTGAAAACCTACTTCCTTGATGTGCAGGTAAAACTGCGTCGCACGGGGCTGCTCCTGAGCAGGAGCTGGTGCTGTACCATGCTGTGCAGCTCAGGCGCATGGGGCTGGAGGGCTCTCCCACCTGCACCCCCCATAACTCACCTTGGGTGGGGGGGATTTCCACATTTATTTTCTTTGGAAAGATTTTTCTTTTTTTTTTTGTGTGTGTGTGTGCATGTGTTTTATTCACCTGGGTCAGCGGGAAAGGGCCTTGCGTAACGCTTGCTCTCCTGGTCCCACCTACTCGCAGTTCAGCCGCTGCATCACCTCCCAGCTCATCAAGTGGTTCAGCAACTTCCGCGAATTCTACTACATCCAGGTGGAGAAGTTTGCCCGGCAGGCCCTGCTGGAGGGCGTTGTGGATGCCAAGGTGCTGAGGGTCTCGCGGGACTCAGAGCTCTTCCATGCACTCAACACGCACTATAACAAGGGGAATGACTTTGAGGTGAGAAGGGGCAGCTGTAGGGGAGAGGCCAGGCGAACCAGCCCAGTTGTGGGGAATGGGGCACCCTTTAGCACTCTTATCTGGGGAAGGAGCAGCTCCAGCCTCAGGGATACTGCTGACCAAAACCACAGAGGTGGGAAGAGGAAGGCGGTCCCACTTGTGTCAGCCCTGTGGTGGCTGTAACTACTTCCCTTCTCTTTCAGAGCTGCTTTTAATGATTTTAGGGCACAAGAAGAGCATGATCTCTGATAACTCTAGCTTGTTCCTCACAGTAGCCAGGAAGGCAAAGGGACTGTCTGAACCGACTGTATGGCACCTGAAAGGCAAGCCATGCACTTCAGGAAGGGTCAGGCCTTCTGCACCTTCCTGTGCTATGCCAAAGGGACGAGGGGGTGGGATGTGTACCCAAAACAATATAAGGATTTCCTAGTGTCCTCTGCTGATGATCCTCTCTGATTTTCCTACTTTGGAGGGAGATTTTCCCTCTGCAGTGACCACATCTCAGGGGTGACTGATCATTCTAGTGGGCCAAATCCCTCTGCAAAGCCTGCAATACTCCTGAAGGCACTCTCTGAGGGCAGAGATTTGGCAAGTGCCCAGTGGCACTTAGAGGAAAATCAGAGGCACTCCAGGACAACTTAGGATCTTCTGGTCCTCTGAAACTGGAGCGGGTAATTGAGATGGCACCTCATATTCCTATGGAGAAACGTGCTCAGGGATAGGAGCTCGAAGGACCGAAGAGCCGGGCCCTGTGCAGGCGAACCTGAGCTGTTCCTCAAGAGGGAGCTGGCAGGACTGAGGTGTGTGGTGGCTGGGACTGGCCATTTCCTGCGGTCTGCCTGCCCACGGTCTCCACAGCCTCCGGTGCCCGCTGTGTCTTCGCAGGTCCCCACGCGCTTCCTGGAGGTGGCCAGCCTGACCCTGCAGGAGTTCTTCAGCGCCGTCAGGGCGGGCAAGGACTCCGACCCCTCCTGGAAGAAGCCCATTTACAAGATCATTTCGAAACTGGATAGTGACATTCCAGAAACGTTTAAATCTTCTGGCGGCTCCCAGGAAGTGCTCAGGAGCTGAATCTCTATGGAGGTGGCCTGAGGCTTTTGGAATACTGTACAACAGGGCCAAGGGGCAGGGGAGAGGCTGGCTGTGCTGAATACTGCTGGGGTGCCGCTTGAGCACTGTGTATAGCACCCAATGTTAAGACTATTTTGAGTCTGGCTTATAGCATGGTCTCCTTGGGTGAGGTCCATTAGGTGCCTCCAGGTGCCAGGATTTTCAGGCTGTATGTTTTGCTCCGCTGCTCAAAACCAGCAAGGTCTCATGCCATGGAGGGGACAGATGGGAATTAAGTCTCCAGGCTGGAGTCTGAGAGATCACATCTCCTTCTGGCCCTGTCCTCGCTTTCTCCATGACCCTGGGCAAGGGACCTTCCTGCTCCTTGTCTGGAGGGCTGCAAGCCAGCACAAACAGCCTTTCTGCTTGTAAAGCAGGCAGCGGGCCTAGCAGTGGGCAGTTTTCTTGGCACAGCAGCCCCACGTCCTGTGCTCGGTTCTGTTGCATTCCTGGGTTTCTGTCCACATATAATATGACTATGTCCAAAGAAAACATTTGGTGAATTCCAGCATTACAAGCGCCCTGTGAGGATGATTAACCCTGTCTTGGAGATATAAAAGTGTTTGTCATTGATAGCCCCCTCCCTTGGGCCTGCAGTGGCACCCGCATCGTGCTGCATGGGGGCTACACATCATGTGGGATCTCCCAGCCCCATACCCCTGTGTCTTTTTTAATATCAGACTATCCCTGCTGCTGATGAGCTGGACCACAGGTATCCCTGTAGGAATCAGCATGGTGGTTTCTCAATGCAAGCACGAGCGATGGTGCCGCTAGCTCAGGAGCAGGGAGAGGCACTGGCTGTGGAGCAGGATGGACATGGCCAGCAGACCAGACCCAGGCAGAGGCTCTGCCCCCGCTGCAGCCCCTCAGCGGCACCGCTGCAGCACAGCCCTGGACCCGGGCAGCCCCGGCCTGAGGGGCGCGCAGAGCCTGAGCGGCTTCCTGTTGCGAACACGGCCGGTGACACGAGTCTGCGCACTCACCGCAGCACCATTTCCCATTTGGATCTTGCTCCATGCGCAGCCATGGATCCTCCAGGTGAGTGCTGGGCTGCAGAGACCTGTTGCTGCTCAAGACATGCCTCTGACCGGCTCCTGGGGTTGCATGGACACGGGCAGGGGATAGCTCCCTTTTCTGCCTCCGAACTTTGCCTACCGACTTTGTTTCTATAGACGTGAAAAAACAAAGACATTTGTCTTATGCATGACCAGAACCAAGTGGCCACTAGTACACCAGGTGATCCGTGGTGGCGTGGTTTGCATGACAGGCGCTGCAGTCCTAGCAGGAAGCGATGCAGGGAGGAAACGTGCTGCATGGAGAGGGGCAAGTTCCTGAGAAAGCTGCGTGAGGAAGGCAACGCAAGGGCAGGTGCCACATAACCCAATACGAACAACTACACCTCGGTGCAGAGGAGAGGATGGAGAGGAGCTTGGGACTTTTCTCACGGACTCAAGGCATGCGATAGCCAGACACTTGAGCACAGTTAGCTCCACGGGATGGGGAACTCCAGGCTCCAGCATCTGACAAGCACAGGGGACGCAGCGCACACAGGCAGCAGGTTTTCAGTTTTAAGGGAATGTGAGATAACTAAATATTAGGACGGCATGGTGTCTACTAAGTATGGGCAGGTTTACCGTGGTCCTTGCTGTTGTGAGAGTGGTGAACCAGATTTCCTGTTTGTGTCCTTAAGTTAATTTCTTGAAGTTTGTATATCTTATAACCCTAGCTTTAAAATTACTCAATCCTTTCAAAAATAAATGCACAGTTTAAATTAGCACTTCACCTCCCTAGAGACCTACTGGGTAACTTCCTCTCTAAAGATTTGGTCTGGGAATTTCATTATTTTGGGAAAGGATTTGCCGTGTAGCCAGGGGCTTATCCCTCCTGCTGATGCTCTTGCAGAGCTGAGCAATCCTACTAACAATGCACTCATCTAAACCCACCGCATCCCCAAGCCTTCCCATATCCTTGTTCCTGC